CAAGGCTAAAACACTGGGTTTTTAGACTAGGGACAAGTTCCATTACCATGCTCCAAGATAACATGGCATGCTATGCTACAACTCTACAACCATGGTCATGGATGATTCCCCAAGTCAACTTGTACAATTTAATATCGAGCTAATTAAACAGGATCAAAACATTAAGAAAAACTTCAAAAATATAACCCCATTGAATAAATTATTTGGTACAACAAACCCTCGTTTTTTAAGCTACAAACATACAATTAAACGGCTACCAGTTTAAGGAGAGAAAAAAAGGATTCAGCCTATTTCTTAAGTCCTCTCTAACCTTCACAAAAGCCAAATCTTGTTACCATCACATTGCTTGTGTAGTAAGTAAAAGAATCCTGTTGTTGGTTATATTCATATAAATTAGGAATTATTTTAACACCTGAATAAAATCTTACCGTATCTTTTGCTTCTCTTGTGAGCATCCAAAGCTTAATAGTACAGATTACATGTCTGTTTTTTTAGTTATTAGATGATATAAATATGATATAATGCTGAATTCGAAGAAGAAAATATTAATAGGATACATGGAACACAATCGTAATCTTTGGCATTAGTAATAACAAGAAGGACCAAACTCTAGAGATGTCCATAATATTCAGATGGTGTTATGTATCTGTAAAGAGGGATCAAACCCGAGATTAGATGCATAAAGCTTCACTTAAAAAGCAATAGCTTTGATGGTTGAGTGGTAGCCTCAATTCTTACCAGATGTAATGTTAATGGAAGAAATGAAGTTTATAAAAGCCAATGTTTTTCAAGAAAAAAAAATGTATGATAAAAAGTCCCAAGAAGTAACCGGGAATAGCAGGTACCAACATGTTACTAAATGAGAATACTGTTAATAAAAGGTCAATCTTTTCTTTTCTCTCTCTTCCACGCTTTTGCTTCTTTTCTTCACTTCAGTCTCTGAATTATAGATAATTCTAATGTAGAGTATACATCCAATTCTCATTGATCGAACCCCTTTTTTGTTGTTTCTCTTTGAGTTTCTGATCGAATTTTCTGGGTCACTATCCCTCATTTTCTCGGGAAAAAGGAAAGAGGAAGAAAGTATGGAATTGGCAGCAAATGTGTCAGCTTTTTTCGTAGACGAGTGACTGAAACAACACATTCAGAAATAAAATACTACAAATTCTTTTGAGATAATTGAAATGAGAAGCTCTTTCTCTCTCGTTTTTCACAATGCAGAATGGAATCTCTGTTTTATCGAGGTTCAATTTGAATTCTTTGTGTTTTTTTCTTACCTTTAAAGTCTGAACCTTTAGCTCCTGCTTCTTAAAATTGATCTCATTTTTGGTTTTTGTGTTGATTTTAGGGCTTTCTAGCTGGTTTTTGAAGACTTTGAAGGTAAACGAAATGTGGGTTTGGCGTGGTTATGAGAGATAGCTCTGTGGGTTTTTGAGGATTCGAGTTTAGCTTAGAGTGGGTGATGGAATTGTAAATTGGGGGAAGTTTTATAGGGGTGAAAATGGCTAAAAGCTGAGATCTGTTTTGGAAGCTTTTAAGAGAATCGTTGATGATTGTGTGTACTGTAAGTTCAAAATATCTATGCAATTGTGTTAAAAGTGGTTTAAGCTTTGGGTTTACGAGGAATGTGATAATTTACTGATTTCATTAGTGAGTTTTGATAATTTTGAGGGTTGTTTAGGCAATGCTGAGAATTGGACTGAACTAAAGAGCTGAAAAAGTGGGAGCTTCTGTTTGCTTTGAGGTTTATAAAAAGCTTATATCTCTAAAATTAGTGTTGTTTTCATAGATTTCTTAGACCATGTCTGGTGCTCCGAGATTGAGGTCCATGAATACGGCTGATTCCGAGCCAAGGCCCGTACTGGGACCTGCTGGGAACAAGGCAGGCACATTGAGTTCAAGAAAACCAACTTCAAAGCCATTTAGAAAGATTGAAAAGTGTCCAGCTGAGGCCACTTTAGCAGAGGAGAAAAATGGCCTTCCTTCGCCTAAAGTTAATTCTCTTTCCCCAAAATCCCATTCTGTTAGTGTCCCTTCAGTGCTAGGCCGCCACGAACAGTTATTACATTCTAATTTTTCACTAAATGCCTCGTGTTCCTCCGATGCTTCCACGGATTCATTTCACAGTCGAGCATCTACCTATGGTAGGTTAATTCGGTCAAATAGTGACAGAACTAGGAGGAAGCCGTACTTGTCAAGTCCAAGGAGTGTTGTTTCTGATGGTGGCTTGGATTCGCCGCCCGATGGTTCACATCAGAGGAAGAGATGTGCTTGGGTGACACCAAATACAGGTTTGTTGTTGTGGCCTCTAAGGCTCTAATTCCTCACTGTGTTACGATTGATTTCTATGTTGTGTTTAACATTTTCTTCCGGTTTCCCCAAGTATTAGGGTAGAGAAAATTCCCTGCACGAAGAACATCTTCTGTATTGTTTATACCTTTTCTAGCCCTTCTATCCCAAAATTGTAGCATTAGGTTAGCTTCGATTAATACGGTCACATCTACGACGAAGGATCAGCATCTAGCCAAATGAACCAACCAGGGTGGTAACTTCCATTATGATCGCCAAACTTTATTGTTTTTGTCGGACTTTATGATTTAAATCGAGCAATAGGTTAAATTGCCTTGGAATTTATCTTTCCGACTTCATCTACAATCTGTTTACTCGATATCATTACGTTTGAGACAGTTGTTACCGAGTACATGATATGGCATTAATATCATAAATGCAAATTGGTTATGCATTCATATGTTCAAGCATCATATTCAAAAATGAAAGAATGTCAGATCCAATGCTTTAATTTGCTCTTATTTCATGTTTTTATTGACATAGTTTTGTTTGTTGGGATCAGATCCGATCTATGTTGCTTTCCATGATGAAGAGTGGGGAGTTCCGGTACATGATGGCAAGTATGTGATCTCGATATTATTGCCTGCATCTGGTTGTCGTTGATTAAATGATTACGTCTGATGAAAAAGAAGCATTTCATTGAACGCTGGTTTGCTTGAAATTATTGCTCATATGCAGGAAATTGTTTGAGCTGCTTGTACTTGCGGGTGCATTGTCTGAACTTACATGGCCGGCTATCCTAAGCAAAAGACGCATCTTTAGGTAATTTTTTCCACACAGAAATTCGATCTTACTTCAGTTGAATAACCAAACTCGTTCTGAAAGTGTATCTCTTATGCAGGGAAAGTTTTGAGGATTTTGATCCCATTGCCGTATCGAAACTGAATGAAAAGAAGTTAATAGCACCTGGTAGTATGGCAAGTTCCTTGTTATCGGAACTAAAGCTGCGTGGTATCGTCGAGAACGCACGCCATATGTCCAAGGTAGATAAATTATCGTTCTTATTTGCTCCATTTTTTAACCTTGGTAACAACTCAGCATGAAAATAGTGCTCCAAAATCACTTGTTAGCAGCACTTGCACATAACAGTATAATTCACAATTTGATCATGTATATTTATGTTATGGATTTATTTATGTACAATTCCAGGACAGCTTTTTTCGTTTAATTATTCCTATCTATTAGATGCCAGCTTGATTAGCTGGCAAAATCGCAAGTCATCACTCTCCATCATGAACCGGTAGCCCTCCTTTGCTCAAGTAAAAGTACCATAATTGCACTGTCCATAGTGGCTATGATTATCAACACAACTAACTTTTTGCGGGTTTTGATAATGTCAGGTTATAGATGAGTTCGGGTCATTCGACAAGTATATCTGGAGCTTTGTTAACCACAAGCCTATCGTTAACAGATTCAGATATCCTCGTCAGGTCCCGGTTAAAACTCCGAAAGCAGATGTCATAAGCAAAGATTTGGTAAGAAGGGGTTTTCGAAGTGTGGGGCCAACAGTCATCTACTCTTTCATGCAAGTCGCCGGAATAACAAACGACCATCTCACGAGTTGTTTCAGATTCCAGGACTGTATAAACACAGTGGATGGAAAAGAAGCAACTAGGACCAAAGATATGCCCGAAGAGGAAAAATCAGATAACATGATTGAATCAGAATTATCCATAGCTATCGATGAATTTTCTCTTAAGAATGATATTGGCACGCTCCAGGTTCGATCATCAGTTCTACCACATTGACTGATTCACTGCTCTTTTGTGTAGTAACTATGGTGGTTTTGTGTATAAAGTTTCATGAACAACTATGCATACTGAATTTTCTAGATTGTAGATCTAAAGTAAACTAAATTTAACTGATGAATGTGCTGCTTGATGGGGCCTCTGTCGTGGAAGTCTTAAAATATTTACATTTTTCTTGTCCCTTGTATAGTTAGAAAGCTTGGTAATTAGAGATGAACCCCAACAACAGAAAACCAGATTCGCCACCGGATCTGTCCCTATCAGATTCTTGACTATATGCTAATAAGTGGGGGTTGATCGAGTGTGGATCGATTTTATTTGTTAACCCTGTAAGTTGTTGGGACAGCTAAACCTACACATACAACTCCCGTTTGCTTTAATGGATGCAATAATGGTTAGTGGCAAAATGATAGTACGTCCTAGAAGGACCTTGTGGAAGGACCCCATCCAAAAGGGCATGCGTCTATTGTACCCAATATCACTAATGATGTAGGGTCCCTCTGTTTCCTACTGTTATTGACATTATAATGTCTTGATGGATGTTTTGTCTGAAAATGGCTAGAATACTTCCAAACTCTACCTATTTACTCCTATTATGCTTTGCACTAGATCTGATTGGTAACCACTAATTTTTTTCTTGCAAACATAAAGCCTTGTAAAGGGATTTGCATTGGCTAATGCCTAATATCAATTCTCATCTCATCAAGCCATACATATCTAAACTTTGGGTCAAAGCCACAAAAAGGCAGACAGATTTTTTTCAGTGTATTGTTTTTAATTATATCATATATGCATAGCTAAGCTCTTAAATGCTGTAGTTGTAACCCTTTAACCCAACAAATATGCATGCCTAAGCTAAGCTCTTAAATTCCAACTCATGTAACATAAAAAGAAAAGGAGAAATTGAAACATGGTTCCAACTAAGGAGACAAGAAAAGGGATAAAATCTATATTGTTTCCACAACTATAATAACCTTGTTCCTAGCTCCTACTAGATTGAGAGGGGATACAACAGAAAAGCATACAGCAATGCTTAAGGAAAACTAGAAATAAGAAAATCAAACCTGACCATTCAGTATTTATACAGACATGCCAGATATTAACAACACAAAAGCTCCTTTGAGTTCAGCATGGCTTTATTTCAAATCCAAAACTCAGAAGTGTTCGAGCTGATTCGATTGCCTTCTCACCTCCTAGATCTAGGGCCTCACCAGTTAATTCACCTTCTGTACCTACTGACCACTGGGTTGATGTAACTTGGCTTTGCCCTTCATCAGTTTTTTTGAGTTGTAAGTTGTTCATAGAAGCAGGTGCAGCAGCGGCAACAAGAGGAGCATTTGGTTGGCCATGTCGCTTCTTGGGTACGGGCATGTCATGATCATGAACACCTTTATATGTTATAATGACAGCATTTTTATTATCTACAGCTGTCTCAATATGCTTACGTACAGGACACCCGGCAGAAGTGCATCTATAGTAGTTCCTAGAAAACATTCATCACTTAAAAAATATGAATATATCCAATAGAATGCATACAGACTCAAGTAAATTGGCACATAACAATCGAGTTAAAGAATGAACTTGGAAGGATCAAATTGGTCAAACAGAGAATTAACAAAATAAAAAGAGCAGAAGAAATGCAGGCTCTTGAACAATAGCCTAAGAGAATATTTCTCATTGGTTTGGAACAGTTACAGATGCGGCACTGTCAAAAATTGGTAAAGGGATAGTTGTTCTCCCTAGAGATCCTGGGTTCGAGTAGCTACATTTGCAAGGTGTGTGCATGTTACTAATTGGTTAAGAAAATTACCACCTTGTAATCACCCAGACTATTCAACAAAAATTGTTAAACAAATGAACCAGACATCTTTGCAAATCACTGTAAAAAGTCGTTGAGAGAAAAAGCAAGGACAAAGGCCACTGGAGCTTTTTAGTATAAATTCCAAAAAACCTCTATGATACAAATGAATGATTTTTCTAATATTTCAATAAAACAAAGACATGTAAACATTGAGGGTCGGGTCACATACCACAGACACAAAAGAAGCAAGCTACCATAACATAAAAATTACAATGGAGACAAGGCTAAGTAGTCATAAGGATGGGGTAATGGTTTAAATGGATAATAAGAAAAAAAATGAGAAGTGAACAGGCACCTGGGATTAGAATTTCCTTTCACCATTTTCTGGCCATATTTTCGCCATCTGTATCCATCACCTGAAATCCCTACATCACTAACTGCATGGACAACAAACTTAGGTTTCTTCCAAGTTTTTAGGACAGAATCAGAACAAACCGTATTGCTTTTCTTCATCCTGATTATCAAAGAGAATAAGAAACTATTAAAACGAGACTCGCGGACTGGATGCATGTACACATACGTGTCTATATCATGAAGCAAAAGAAAACAAAGGCAAAGAGAAGCTTACAGGAATGCTTCCCGTTTTTTTAGCTCAGGTTCACTATTAAGCTCTTCCTTCACTTGCACATTGTCATTTCCATCAGAGCCACTTGAACATGGTCTTTTTCTTTCAGGATTCACAGTTGTTTCTGGTACAGATTCTTTAGAGGATGTGAATGGATCAGAATCGTTAAGTACTTTGATGGGCTGGGCTGTAACAATATTGTGTGAAGCATGTACACTGGAGGATACTTTCTTACTTTCCCTATGCGGGTTATTTTTCCGTGGCAGTTCATGACTATGCATGCCTTTATTAACAATCTCTATTACATGGCCAGTGTCATCCGAACATTCTATCTTTTTGGCCTGACAATCAGAGAATGTGCATTTGTAATAACTTCGAGAACCTTTAGGACTTTTCACTTGCTTCTGACCATATTTCCTCCAATTGTAACCATCAGATGCAGGTCTCTTCACAATGGGAACAACAGATACCATTTTAAGATTATAAGATTTTTGCTGGTTTGCTTCTGGCGCAGATGCACCATTAACTTTCTGATCTGAAAGGCTTTGTTCTTGTAGAGGTGGAGTGAGAGCAGATGATATACCTTGTGTAACAGAAGTTGGTGATAGTTGTGCCAAAGAAGTTGGAGAAACAAATGATTGAAGCTGATTTTGTGTAGAACCTTCAGCACTCTGGATGGCCAAAGTAGTGGAACCTTCCCGGTGGGCTGTGACAACTTTCTCCTAAGAAATTAAACCAAGATGAACTCCATTAAAAGAACAATTCAATCACAGAGAAATTTAAGTGTACATGCCCTTTTCTCATTTCAGGCATTTTCATAATTTGTTCTATCTGAGAGGAACTCAAATGGTAAGACAAGCAGATTCGAGAAAAATTTAAGTCCATATAGATCTTCGGACATCACTGCACTTGTTTTGAAGAACTGATTCAATGATCTAACTAGAAGAAGAAGACGAAGAACATAAATAATGACTAAAAGAGTAAAAATCAACAGAATTTGAAGTTATAACTTATAAGTGCCAGAGCTCTGGCAAGGATTATCAAATGTTCGCAGGAAATGATTCTGCGTCCTCTTCCCATTTGCCACTGGCTTTATACTTTTGGCCTCCGTTTTTACATTTAAAGTTAAATTCAATCCTTGTGTTCACAATCAATAACCTACAAGTTTCCAATAAATTTCCATTAGTAAATTCTATTGGATTCAAGATGACAACTTTTAACAACGAAAGAACAGACTTCATATGAGGTCCTACTGCATCCTATAATTCAACTATACAGAACCTATAGGGGTGTATTAGCTGGCTACTTGTGCAAGCTAAGATAATCAACAAACATTAAGAAAAAAATTTAATCCTTAACTAAAAGTCATTATTAAAAGCTAACCTTAAATTCAGCTCCTTCCTTTGGTTCCGAGTTAGATTTCACCGGTAACCCTGAGAGATCACCATATACTCCCTCATTACAATGCAAACATTTTTATTAGAACTAAAAAGGAGCTTGCTTTATTGAGAATTAGGAAAAAATAATATTTTTCCCATAAAACACACTTAAAAAGGATCTCACCCTCAGAACGATCATCATTCGCCAGAGTTTTCAATTGAAAATCTCTCAATCCAGTATCACTCGAAAGCGCTGTTCCAGCACCGTCTGACTCAGTGACTCGACTCACTCCTTTTTCCTCTTCGTCCTCCAACTCTTCCTCTTCTTCTCCATCGCCCTCTCCTTGAAAATCGTCGTTTTGGTGTTCCTCGTGTCGTTTCGTGTGAGGTGCTCGGCTCTCAGTCTCGGCCATGCCCGATTTTTCCTCGGCGAAAAAGAGTAAAGTAAGCAAACAGTTCGTATTCTTTTTGTTCTATTTTTGTTTAAAGATTATTAAATTACGTGTCAACTTATTAATTTATTGTAATTGTTCTATAGAAATGTATAGATTTTTTTAATTATTAAAATAATTTATTAAAGCAATATTTACCAATGGAAAACCTAGCGCCGCAGGAGGATCGCCTATCAAAGAAGGCACGCAGACTTGACGAAGAGCCACCGGATGCAGGCGGCACTTCTCCCAACCATATGGATATCGAGGCGATCAGCAAAGCTGCCCTAGAAACTTCGCCTGGCCCAACATCCTATCGTGATACTCTGTTCAAAGATAATCACACGGATCATTCGATTGAAGAAGAAATAATGGATGAGGAAGATGTCGAAGTCTTTGAAGACGATGTCGTTCGTGGTGTCGTTGAAGGTTTAATATCCATTGATTTCTCCGACCGAGTCCAAGCCATGGCCAATAAGAGTTTCGATCAGACTGTGGTGGTGAAGCTACTTGGGAGGCGTATTGGCTACACAACCCTTCGGAATAAATTTTATGATCTATGGAAACCATCTCAACCCTTTCGCCTCATGGACATAGAGAACGATTACTTCCTTGTTTCGTTGCGAACGCGATCAGATTTCTTAACAGCCCTCTCCGATGGTACATGGACAATCTTTAGACATTATTTGATTGTTGAACCGTGGTCGTCTGACTTTTCCTCTTCACAGCTATTTCCTCGTCGAATTGTGGCATGGATCCGACTCTCGAGATTACCGGTAACTCTTTATAAACGTAGTCTCATCACTGAAATTGGCGAATGCATTGGGAAGGTTGTTAAAATCGACTACCAAACAGAAACAGGGCGTCGATGACACTTTGCGCGAATGGTGCTGAGCGTGGATCTGGGAAAACGCTAACCTCGAAGCTCTTAATCAATGGTCATATACAAATCGTTGAACATGAATCACTGCCTACCATCTGCTTCTCTTGTGGCCGATACGAACATGTTAAAGACATCTGCCCTGAAAACACAATTGAAGACCAACAAGAATATGATGCTCTAAAAGAACAAGTTACTGAGGCACAATTGTCGAATGCCAACCAAAAATCCAAACCCTTCGGACCGTGGATGGTCATTGAAAGAAGGCAAAGGAAAAACTTTAAAAAACTTTCTACGGATAGCGAGCGAAATATGGAGACTAATGGCTCGAGATTCAATCCTCTATATGAATCCACCGATGATGCAAATGCTACTGCCTTTGAACAGCCAAACCAATCTTCAAAATCCAACCAGGCTACTCATCCTCCTTCTTCGACACCTCAAGCACAGTCGAGTAAAGCACGCTCCAGCGATCATCATGCTGCAAAGAGCAAGACTACAACTCATGTCCGTAAACCTTTAACGATCCCCAAGGTAACTGCTAGATCCTCCAAAGGTTACTATGGGCAGTCAAGTCATCAACCCTGCCAAAATACTGTGGAACCACGTGTCTCAATACTAGACAGATCAAAATATTTGACTATCGTACTATCGGAAAACACTAATCCGAACACTACAGATGATATCATCTCGCACGCCACACAAGGGAACTCCCAGCACAAGTTAATTCTACGTAAGCCATCGGATACAAACCACACTCAAGTAAGTTATGAACCTCATCTTTCTACAGATGGTTAACTCACTGATCTTGTACAATGTACGAATGTCATACAGAACAATTGCATTGAAAGCTAGTCGGTTCCCATGCTGGAATGATATGGTTTTTTATACTTACCTCTCATTATGGTTGTTAAACTAATAAGTTTGAATGTTCAGGGGTGTGGCCATCCTCGTTTTCTCACAGTCTTTCGGCAATATTTGCGTGACTTTAAACCAAATTTAGTAGCTATTTTCGAACCTCAGATAAGTGGTGGCAGAGCGGATGTTTTTATCGCTGTCACCGGGTTATCTCGCTCTCATCGTATTGAAGCAACAGGCTTTTCAGGTGGCATATGGCTTTACTGGCATGATAAAATTCAAGTGGATATACTTCTTAATCATCTCCAATTCATCCACTGCCGTATCTCTACCACCCAAGGAAATTTCTCGACTCTAGCGTCATTTATATATGCTAATCCAAACTCAACAAAGAGAAAGTTGCTTTGGCCTCATCTTCAGTCCCTAGCTGGGTATATTACCACCCCTTGGGTCATTTTGGGAGATTTTAATGCCACACTTACTACTTCCGATAGGAAGAATTGTGCGACTACTACTCGACCTTGAAGATATTTTCAGGATTTTGTTTATGATTTTGGTATCCGTGACATGGGATTCCAAGGTCCTGAATTTACATGGAACAGGGGATTATCTTATGCTCATCTTGATAGAGCTTTATGTAATAGCAAATGGGATAAATCGTATCCTGAAACAGCTGTACACCACTTACATCGAATGCGGTCTGATCATAGACCACTTCTCCTTTGTGTCGGCAGCCCTATAGCCAATATTCGCCCATATCAATTCAAGTACTTCTATGGCTGGTTACAACACGATGACTTTAGTCGAATGGTGGAGGATAATTGGGTAAACTCTGAGACTTTTTCAGCCACTATTTCCCATTTAACTGAAGCATCAGATATATGGAACAAAACAGTGTTTGGTTATATCAGCACAAAAAATAAGATTATTATGGCGAGACTTTGATGAGTACACAGAAGCCTTAATAGATTCCACTCGAATTTCATTATCAATCTTGAAGCCGAGCTCCTCATCGAGTTAGAAAAACTCTTAGATCAAGAGGAAACACTTTGGAAACAACGATCGAGAGTCAATTGGACTGCACAAGGTAACCGCAATACAAAATACTTTCATAGACGTGTCGTACAATAAAAGCGGAAGAATCGAATCATGTCACTAAAACTCCCTTCAAATGACTGGTGATATGACACACATATACTCAAGGAAGAAGCAATTAATTATTTCATGAATATTTATGCTTGTGATGAGGAAGTGGTAGGAAAATTCCCTATTTCAAGATGTTTTCCGGTAATTCCAGCACATCTGCAGGGCTCCATGGCTATCACTCCAAATGATACGGAAATTTTGAAGCTCTGAAAGATATGACCCCTCTAAAAGCTCATGGCCATGATGGCCTACATGCAAACTTTTTCCAGAAGCAGTGGCATGTGGTGTCTCATTCTGTTTGCAGCATGGTTAAAAAGGTCTTTGCAGGAGGTAATATTGAAGCCGATATAAATAAAATCGTGATTGTTTTAATCCCAAAAATAGAAGCTCCAGTAACTTTTGCTGATTTCTGCCCTATCAGCCTATGCATTGTCATGTATAAGCTCATCACCAAAATCACCGTTCACCACATTAAACACTTGATGCCTATCTTAATCATGTCAAATCAAACGAGTTTTTTCGTTGAGCGCTCTATTACAGAAAATGTTATTATAAATCAGGAGGTAATCCACTCTATGCGGCGACTCAAGATAAAACAAGGTTGGATAGAAATTAAAGTGGATCTCGAAAAAGCTTTCGACCGTCTCCGATGGGATTTCATCCAATATTCGCTCACTGACGTTGGCTTCCCAGTCAGCACCATCTGAGTCATAATGCATTGTATCACTTCGGCCTCTATGCAAATCCAATGGAATGGTGAATACACTCCAGATTTCAAACCACAGCGGGGTATCCGACAAGGTGACCCACTTTCTCCATATCTATTTGTTTTAGCAATGGAAAGACTCGGTCATAGCATTCGTAAATGCGTCGAAGAAGGAGATTGGAAAGGCTTCTCTTTTGCCCGATAAGGACTTCCCATTAGTCATTTATTTTTTGCTGATGACCTTATGTTATACGCAAAAGCTTATCTTCCTCATGCTAGGCAAATTGAGAAAATACTCAACCAATTTGGACACTTTTTAGGACACAAAGTCAGTAAACAAAAGACTCATATATACTTCTCGCCTAACACTGTCACGGAAACGAAAACTGCCATCCTTTCATGTCTTGGGTTCCAAGAAGTTGACCATATGGGCAAATATCTTGGCGTACCGGTCCTTCATAGTCGTATGAAAGCTACGGATTTTGACTTCATCTTCAATAAATTCATGGGTAAATTAAAAAGTTGGGCAGCTCAAACTCTTTCATTGGCAGGGCGTGTTACTCTGGCTAAATCGGTCCTTTCAGCCATACTGACTTATTTTATGCAAGTCATGTATTTCCCAAAAAAAGGTTTGTGATAAGATAGAATCTGCGACTAGGCACTTTATTTGGGGCTCTGAACCCTCCGGAAGGAAAATATCCTTAGTTAATTGGCCTACGGTCTGTACTCCTATTGATAGAGGAGGGTTGGGTTTAATACGTCCTCTTGAGCAGAACAATGCTTTCCTGATGAAGCTTGGTTATTCTATTATGGTAAAGATAACTTCTTACTGGGTCCAATTACTTAGACAAAAATATAAAATCCAGGATGCTCATCCTTTATCCATTGAAAGACACATATGCACCCCATTATGGCGAGGGATAGCAAAAACATGGAGCCAATTATCCTCATGTTTGGTCTGGTCGGTGGGAAATGGAGACACCATAAACTTTTGGAATGATGCTTGGGTGCCACATTTTGGACCATTATACATTTATGCACGAGCTAACGCACATGTGCACCCAACTTAGAAACTACACAATTTCATTGATGAACAAAATCATTGGGACGTAGAGGCGCAATCCCAAGTTCTTGTTCCAGTTGTCATCCCTCACGTACTTAACGTTCGGCCTCCTGAAGCTACCGATATATTCGATGCCTTGGTCTGGAAATGGGATCTTGAACATCACTTTACGATCAAATCGGCTTACACTTTTCTCATGGAGGATAGTTGGTTCGGGAAGAATAATGTTTGGAAGAATATTTGGTCGATCACCACTCCTCAATGAGTCCGCATGTTCATATGGCTTGCTTATAAAGAAAAGATCATGACAAACTATGAACGCGAAAGACGAATGCTGGTAAATGACTGCTCATGTGCGACTTGTGGCGCATCTATGGAAT